GTCAATCTGCCGCTGTCATCCCCCCACACCTGCTCCTCCTTACTACATCTCCCCGCGTCCCTGTGCCGATGGAGAATGTGGGCGGGCGGTGAGTGTGAGGCGGGAAGGAGGTGCGGCGTGTAAAGCGTGGATGCGGGTCTGGCAGCGTTGAGCGTGAGTTAGGGAGGAGGTGGGGTGCGCAGCGTGTGTGGAGCCGTGAACAGGGCCAACTGATCAGAAGCCGATTAATCGATTATTGAAAAAGTTGACAACTTTTTCAATAATCGATTATAATCGATTATAATCGATTATGTCGATTAGTTGTTGCAGCCCTAGTTCCGTGACATCTGGAAGTTATTTGAAGGGCTCCTTCATGTTAAAAGGTTGAGAGAAGCTGATCAAATCGAGTACATTTTTTTTTGCATTCTAAAAAGAACCCCAGAAGAACCTGAAAGACATCCACAAACATAGGAGGACAAATAAACCCCAATGACAGTGTCCTTGGTCGGGGTTAAACCTATAGGGTGCAATACACATTACTCACTCCGGGATTATGAGATTATAGGATGATGATGATGACGCATTGACACAAACACACACTGAGACAAAAATCTGACATTTCAAAACTTGGAGTGAGGATCTGCAGATGGAATTTACTCTTGGAAGTGAAAATCATTAACAAGACTTTACTAGACCGTTTATCGATTGATCATGAAGCATTCCAAGAGACTCCGGGGGCCGGGCTCCTGAGTTCAGGAGGTTCATATAACATTCCAACCATTTGCATTTCGAGTGGGAAAGAGTTGGTGTTGGGCTTTCACTGCACCCTGGAGATGTCCCACCACCACCCATCTACTGGTATCATGCCTATGGGAAGTAGACTAGAAGACATATAACATCTGCATCTCTCCACCCTCCATGAAAATATATGGAGAGCTCTGAATGGTGAGAACAGTAGCAGAGTACTGCCTTTCTTGGGCAGGAGAGGAAACCCTTGCTTATTCCACCAAAAATGGAGAAATCCACTCGGGGGTGACAACGCAATCACTACAGTTTTACTTTCAGAGGATTAATCAAGGGTAATTAGTGACGCATCCATACACTGTGCATTGGACGTGGGGACTCAGGGACCTTAGATCAGTGCCGCAGAGGGGGAGAAAGGCTCCAGGGATCGGAGGCTCTTGAGAGAAGAGTACTGAGGCAGGGTGCTGTGATGTTTTCAGGAAGCTATGTACAGCACCCTGCCGGCCCCTCCCACCAGCCATGATCTGCCTGCATTGCATAGAGAAGCATAGCGACCAAGTGGTGGCATTACCAGGTCTAAACTAACGCATGTAATGAAGACGGAAAGGTTTAGCATGTTGCTAAGGTAGGGACCAGGGAAGGCAAAAAACATAAGCATTTTACACCTCAGCTTTAAATGAATTGATAAGAACAGATGAATGAGTCTCCAAGCTTTGAAGAAGGATAAAATGAACTCTGATGACTGCTCGGTGTTCATTTTCCTTTACCCCTCCGGGTATGACAGCACACCACACACGGTTCCTGATCTGCACACCTACCAGATTTAAAGGGGTTGTGTCACCTTAGACACTAAAACAAAGCTCAACACGGCTTCCTTATCAGCGATCCCAAATAATTTTATATCACAGCTCCCCCCTCAGGACAAACCTCTCCTGACGGATCCCTACAACGTGGATTCATTTCTCTTCCATATAATTGTATTATATTGTAACTGATATTCCCTCTAAATAACAAAAGAAGGTTTATGTCTCCGGCCAGATTTGGGCATCTTGGGGAAAAGAAATGTGTGTTTGACTTGCCAATTACAGGAAGTGTGCACCTAACTGGTCACCAACCAACACTTTATGTACCGGAGATATTTGTTTGATGAAAGTGTTCAATAAAAAGCAGAAATTTTATATACACACACCGATGAGCCATAACATTGTGACCAATGAGAGGTGAGGTGAATAACATTGATTATCTGGTTACAATACCATC